AGCTGTATAAGGAGTTTTACCGCACGTCGAGCGCTTCTCAGACCGCCGCCCTGCAGCGACTTCGCTTCCGCGCTTAACTCCAATTCCTTGGTCAATACGTTCACCAGCGAGCAGCCTCTCTCGTTCACCTTCGTCTGGATCTCCGTCAATAGCGGTGTCGATTGAGCGTCCTTCAAGTAAACCTTCGCCTTCTCTAATAAACCGTAAGCCTCTTCGAAGTGACGTTGCGCTATGCAGGAATCTAGATCCTCGGCTACTTCCAGCACCCACTCCGGCAGCGGTTCGTAGTACTCCGAGTCATCGTCATCTTCCATTCCTAGTGACAATTTAAATAATTATAAAAATACCTGACTATAAAAACTCAACAAAAAGGATTAAAGCCTGTTTTTTCCAACGTATAGATTAACTCTAATCTTAGTTCAACTTGACCTTTTTTTAATTCTTCGAATTAGGACAAGATTAAGAATAAGTTGAACCAAGATTAAAGTTAATTTACATTGATAGAAACGAATATAAAATGAATAAAAATAGGATATATAGGAATAACGAAGAATTTCATACTTATGAAATGTAGAATCATTTTTATTTGCAAATTTTACCTAACGTATTCGACTCCAAAGACATCGAACGAGACGGCGCCGCTTTGTCCTCCTTCGGATGTTTATCGTTTTCTGGTGCGTTGACTGAATTCTCCTCCGCCAGCTTCGCTCTTTTCGCTTGCTCGCATTTATCTAACCACTCTTTCTACAAGGTAAATAGATTCAAATAATATCCTTTCGTGATTTGCGGTCGTTGTTTTCAAACACACTAACTTTACTTGTCGCTGTGGCACACTGGAACACTCTCGTGTCGGAGAACGCCAGCAACTTGAATGCCAGCTTCACAGTTCCATGATCCCTCACATTGACGATCGCTAGGCTTTCTAGATTATAAACTGCCTGCATTTTGTACCTAGGTGGGCCGCGTCTGCCACCGTTCGCCAACCAGGACGCAACCATTAGAACATCATTGAATAAATATGCGTGAATTCTTTTTAATGGCGTACCGTCGATCGGATCTAACTCGAGCAGGGAACCTTCGTGTAAACACACACGTCCTGGAGTCTCAGCTAGGCTCTGCAAAAAAGAGAGAGAGAGAGAAAGGAGTAAAGCATATAAATCTACTGTTGATATTCATATAAAAAGGTTTACATGCATGTTATTTTTAGCACAACTTTTTATACTGTTCATCTTCTCTCTTTTTTTTCCAACATGGAGAGAAAAAGAGAAAAGATGAACTATGCAAGAAGTTCTACTGAACCATTCCTTATATCTTATACTTCGCTTGTTAAATACCAACCAAAGCGCCTTCCACGTTTTCAATCAGTTGAATTAGTTTCTGCTTTTGTTCCTCTTCTTTGGACATAGAGTCAGTCGAGTTCTCCTGCTGCGACTCAGACAAATCCTCGAAAACAACGCCGGTTGTTCTGGTAGAGCCTAAAGTACTCAACAAAGCACGCTGTTCACTCAGAAGCTGGGACAACTGATACATCTCGCTTTCCAGATGCGAGATCTCTTTGGCGGTCTCGATAAACTGCATGTAATTCTGGTAGACATTCCGTTTCAATTGAGCAGATGTATTGTTTGCCAGTTCCTGGATTTTTGCGCGTTGCTGCCTCAATTCGTCTGCACCAATACATTGTGCACTCAGTTCCTTCACAACTGTAGGAACAAAAATATAATTTTAAATATTATAACAGATGAATACTCTAATCTTATTTTTTTTTATGCATTTCCTTATTAGTCTCTAATTTCATATGTAATTAATTAATAAATTACTACTTATGTTGGACTAAAGAGAAGGAGAAAGAGGGAATGGGAAAGAGAAAAAAAGAAAATATAATCATGAATATCTCAAGTATCAGAGATTGATAAAATACGATCCCATATTAATTTTTAAATATATTTTTATATTTATTTTCCATTCTATACATAATTAATAAATTAACTATTTGTCCGATTAAAAAGAGAAAGAGAAAGAATACAGTACCGATCCTGAACATCTCACAAAGTATCAGAGATTGATAAAATATGATTGATCCTATAACGATTTTTAAAAACATATTTTCATATGTATCTACATATTTTGTGGATTTTTATATTTGTCTCCAATTTCACGTAATTAATTAATAAATTTAACTATTTATATTTATATAGTGCACATTTATATAGCACAGTATAGTGTGGAGTCTAAATATCTTATCAAATATTATAAATTGAAAACAAAGTACGATCGATCACATGATTTTTTTTAAATCGTCAATTTTTCATATTCCCGAACATGGTATGCGTGCTCAATAACTCACATTTCTCTGGGTTAAAGTCCTCAGCTGCAAAAACCTTCGGCAGGTTATTATCAGCCATTGCGAGAAGATCGTCGTCCGCGGGCGAGTATTTTTACTATCGTCAACAATACGAGTTGCGTGTCTCTGTCATGTTATGTTTCTGTCGAATCCCTCCGTCGTCATCTGTTACAAATAAATCAACATGATTCGCGTCGGTTTATACCTCCGCCCCGATCTAACCTCACTCGGCGTGTACCGTGTATCCCAATTCCCACATCCCACACCGCCGAAAGAATAACCGGATGGTTGGTAATGTCGGAACTCTTAGTTATCCTCTGGTTTTTATTATCGACCGCACAAGATAGGTTAGATTTACCGACGCACGGTAAACAATGACCGAAAATGGTTTATGTCTTTGCCAAAATATATTTATCGATTATAAACCCTGAAATACATAATTTGTTTATCTTTTTCTAATTTATATAATTATCCGTTTCTGCTAATATAAATTAACTTTAATATTTAAATTATTTCTTCTTTTAATTCTAAGAATTTAAGAAAAGGATTATAAGGATAAATTAAATCAAAATGGAAGTCTATATTGACAGAAATTAATGGACATTAGAACAAAATATAGAGTAAATTGAACCACGCGAGATTAAGAGAATTCTAAAGCCGTCTATATTACCGACTAAATCGTAATTTTTGTATAACACTTTTTTCTCTTTCATAGATTCTCTCTCTCTCTCTCTCGAAAATCCTTTTCCAGGATTAAAGTATACACACTAATATATGTTTGTGAGATGGAATTTATGCCGAGAACGACAAAAAATTTCGAAATTGAAAAAAATCTTAAGAAAAATTTTTTATCATTCTCGACATAAACTCCACTTTAATCCTGAAATCCGGAGAAGGATTTTCGAATCTGTGAAAGAGAAAAAAGTATTTGCTATACAATATATATATATATATATAATTACGATTTAGTCGGTAATATAGACGGCTTTAGGATTCCCTTAAAATATATGATTATTTGAGGATCTCTATTATCGACAAATAGTATCGTGTCGAACTTATCAAGTTACCAGCGACGAAACACTGAATGGCGCTATTGTCAGTTTTTCCCTTCCATTTAACGCGACGTATATAATAATTTTATATATTTATCTGATTATGAGAAATTAAAGCCTAAAAATACAAAATATTTAATTCATACTCAAGAAATATTTAATTTACATTTTTTACGATTATAAAAACGGTGTTTACAAGACGAATTTTAGGTGAAACCGATCGATCTCTGGTAGCTTATAAGGACAAGTCGCAAGTATTCCTTCAGCTGGGAGTGTGGCGGCTCCTGTAATCCGGCTACTCGGAGGCTGGTTATGTCGGAGGATCTGAGGTCGGGGGTACCTGCTGGTGCGGGGCTCACGTTGACTGGGTGTCCGCACTAAGCTCGCCATCAATATGGACACCCTGGAGGAGTCCGGGGTGGCCAGGTTAGCTAAGGAGAGGCGAACCGGGCCAGAGGGGAAACCCAGCAGCCAAAAGTCTCCGTGGCGGGCAGTAGTGGGATCGCGCCCGGGAGTGGGACCGCATTGACAGCCTGGTTGATATGATCCGACACATAACTTTTGCACTTTTTTTTTCAATTTTCCAACAATCCTTAAAGCCTCCTTATGCACTTTCACCAAAAATCAGATTTTTTCAATATACTTTTTGATGTATTTTTTTAATACATAGGCTATACAACATTCTGATGTTCGTGGAGAATTCAAAAGCAAAATTCGAATTAGTGCTCTTTTTCTTAAGTCAATTATGAATATTGTCCATTTTTGATCTTCGAAAATTATATTGGTTTATTTTTGCAACGTCCTCATTAAAAAATTAGAAATTAAAAAGGATAGAAAAAGTTTAAATTTAAGGTCTGTTTTTTATTCCTGTACTGGACTGTACTAGAAACTCTCTTTCTTGCTTTCGCCAAGTATCAAATGTATACCTATCTCATTTTAAGTTCCAAATGTGTACACTAGTTCAGCCACAGAAAACAGATCTTTATTAGTATTTTAAGGAGAGAGGAGTAACATAAGTAACATCAGTTCTTGTGTTTATTGAATAGTGAATATATTTTAATATTTGTTATATATTAATTAAAAAATCAACTAGTGTGTGCTGTATAGATATTTATAATTTGTATTAACAAAAATAATAGAAAATATTATTAAAAATTAAATCGATTTTAGATAATCTATAATTCTCATTTCCAGGATAAGATTCTATTCGTAAATTTACATGCCTATATGTCGACTTGTCTTTTAATACATATATATTAATAAGTCTTTATTTTTAATTTGTTGTATATTAATTCAAAAATCAACTAGTGCTGTATGTAGATATTTATACATTGAAAATAATAGAAATATATGAAAACAATAGAATATATTGTTAAAATTAATCCATTTTAGATAATCTAAATTCAAATTTTAGAAAAGGATCGCATTCATCATAAATTTACATGCCTATATTTCAACGTCTTTTAATTAATGTGTATGCATTTATGGGTCTTCAATTTTTTTGTATTAACAGTATAAGTAAAATTGAATCAAATTCTATCTCGAATTTTAACACAAATTATAGATCTATAATTAATCTAAAATGAACCTTGGGTAATTATAATTATTCAAAATCACATCGATTATGCTAATGAGATGAGAATATAGGAAATTACAAGGAGAAGAAGTATAACATGTGATACACATTTATGGAAAAATTTTTAATCCTATCTTTAATCCTATAACCGTTGTTTTGTAATGAAGATGATAATGCTATCATTGTAAGGATTCACTCCTGCGGCAAGGAAATAATTTATAGTACATATATAAACACTTGAGTTGCATGTATATCAATTTCTTCCTGATACAGTAAACTTAGTCACCACAGTGGATTAATTTTCTTATTTAATATAAATTTCTACGATTTTTGCTTTTCTTTCTTCGCCTGTTCTGCCAGTGCTTCTAATCGGTCGTGTTCCGCAATTAAGGCGTTCACTTCATTCGCTGGCAGTATTTTTGTTTTTGTTGTACCATCTTCGCGCGTCAGTATCGCCATTTCCACTGTAAGTAAAAGAAGTGAACGTATGTCAACAACTTTGTTACAAATTACTACAAAATGTGTCTAATAGCAAATTTGATAAGACACATTAATGCATATTAAAACTATTGTTGTACATATTTTTATGTCAATACAGATTGACAGAAGTATTATAATATAAATATAGAAACAGATTAAATCTTGAATCAATACATTTTATTGTACCATTAGGTAAAATATATTTTATAATTCCAAATATTTATATTTCACTCTCTCTCTCTCTCTCTCTCTCTCTGAATGTATCCAATTGAATTCATTAAAAAACTATGTTTACAATCTCATCAACTTATGTACATTTCTATGAATGTAGATTAACTTTAATCTTGTTTAATTTATTTTCTATTTTTTTTAAGAATTAGAAAAAAGAGAGTAAATTAAACCAAGATTGAAATTAATCTATTTTCATAGAAATAGACATTAAAACCAATTGCTCTAATTTAGATTTAAATAAAAATTTACCCTTCTCAGCAGTGAGTTTATTCATGTCCAACGTTTTAGAGAGCACTTTGATAGCGAGTGCCATTGCGTCTTTCAGAGTTGTCTCGCCTTCTTTATATTCCTGCTTCAAGGACGACACAGCCGCTGCCGAATTATTCCCGATACACGTTGCCTTCCAGCCGCCATAGTTTCCACTAGGATCTGACTGATACAACTGATATCCGTAATATTTGTCCCATCCCATGTATAAGATAGATACACCAAAGGGTCTCTTTCCACCGTATTGAGTGTATGCCTGTTTAACGTCGCATAACCACGAGACAAGCTGCTCGCAAGGTATAGCTTCACCATACTGAAGAAGGTATCTCTGTGCAATAAGACGCAATTCATTCGTCAAGACATTCGCGTCCGAAGTTATACCAGCCACTGAACAAACTATGTCGTCGTTCAACTTGTAGATTTTTTCGGAGAAGAATACTTCATCCAGCAACTTGTTGGTATTACGTTTCTCAGCTGCCAGTAGAATACCGTCGTTTGCTAATATACCCAGGCAAGTACCGGCATGGCTTATAGCCTCCATAGCATATTCGACTTGGTACAGTCTTCCTTCTGGCGAGAAGATTGTGGTACGTGTATCATATCTACGTGCCTGTAAAATGTATAACAAGGTATAGCTAAAAAATATTGAGTCAATTGCGATGAACAATTCAAAATTTTAAAATTTCTATTAAAGTTTCAATTTTTATTTTATCCCAAATATAAGCAAGCAAATATGAGTAAAACAGAACCGCTATATTCATCAAAAGGTTCATTTAAACAAGTCTCTAATGTGTTCATTCTTTTATATTTTGCTAAGAGTGTCAGAACTTTAAATCAGATATATTGATGTGATTTCAACATCCTATGCCTTAAATATGTGCCATATTAGCAATAATTACACTTATGATCTGTTCATATTTACAAATTATGATAAATGTTAGTCTTGATGACAATGCATTTCCCGCATAACCTATAAGCAACAACAGTATCCAAGGTATTTCAAAAAGCTGACTTCAGAACTGAATAAATGTAATATTGAGCTGCAATGAGACTCGTCAACTTACCATTTTGATTTATATTATTAAAATGTCTTATCAGTCGTATCAAGAAAATGCCGCTCGCGAGTCCAACAGTATCCAACAGTCTTGACACTTCGACTCGAAGAATGATTGGCAGGTTAATCGGTACTCTCGGTAATTTTCGATTACTCGAAAGTCGCCATGAAATATCGATAAGCATTATGATAATCTTAAAATCGATATAAATCCCGCGATAATACAAAATAAACAATGCGATCATTTATTTTTCAAACATACAATTTTATCTCATTTCCTTCACTATTCATTTTTCTCACGTTTTAAGCCAATATTACATGTGTCCTTTTTTGTCGTACAATAAATTTTTCAAGCTTGTCGATTGACTATAGGACAAAGAAGTCCAGAGATCCTCTGTCTTGCAGTCAATCGACACGGTTGAAAAATTCGTCGTACGACAAAAAACGAACGCATGTAATATTGACCTTACAACTTATGAGAATGGGCGGAACTTCACGATGCAAAGGATGGGTAAATATTTTTTACATATACATAATACTTTCCATTAATATGTATCATTAGTTTTATTTTTTTATCAGGCCCAATACATGAATAGAAAACAAAATGTTCATACAGATCAACAAAATTCAGATTGCTTCATACAGAGATCTCAAAAGATAGGTATATATATAAGCCATGTAAGGTAGGTATTTTGTATAGTTACATAAATATATCAGTAACGTTGCAATAGTCAAACTGAAGCTGCAACTTTCTTTATCTTAAGCTTATAAACTTAACTAAGGTATAAAAAGGAAATCAATTTTATAATATCTTGTATCATATAAACACTTGTAAAAAAAAAAGAGGAAATAGACATAACAGAGAAGCTATCAGCGTCAGGGCTGTGGCCCAGTAGCAGGAAGTCTACCTCACGGAGGAGATCAGGCCGAATCTCGGAGCGTCCTGATATCTTTCTCGTATTGTTGCTTATTTCTTACACCTATATACAGATTATATAAACATCTGTACACGTCTGTTAATCTTTTATCATTTAGAATAATTCCTTCCATTTTTTCCTATTTGTTGCCGAACATCCTGGTGTAAGCTCTTTTTTGGGACATAGATATACATAGATCTTTCTTATTTGTACATACATATATATACAAGAAAATCTTATTTATCTTATTATCAGTAATTAAAATTTCAAAACATCATCTTTTGGCAATTATACTGTGTGTACTTAGTGTTATATGATACTTAGTACCTAAACTATAATAAGGATTATATGAAACATGTAGTGACAATTTAAAAGAAACGATTGTACTGTTCCAAGCGATACATAATAGTTACCAATCAATTGTTATCAATGTGAGAAATAATTACTTTCTCGAAGCCATCTGATCACGAAGTTCTTTCAGATCTTTCAGTTGTTGACTCAATCGTGCGCTCTCCTCGGCAGCAGTACTCTGAATATCGTTTAAATAAGCTAATCGTTCAGTAAATTGATCGAAGATCTTGTCCAGTACTGGTCCTTTTACACCAAAGCTTTTATTGATTTGATCAATCTTTACAGTGTTATTCATAGACTGTTTCTTGGCACTTGATTCATTTTGCAATAAAGCTAGAAGTGTATCGGTAACTCGTTCTTTAGACGCACTCGAAGTGTTCTCAATGGATTCGTCTTTTCCTTTCTTCATATCAATACTGAAAGTTGAATCCATTCCAGTTTTTTTGCTTTCTACTTCTGTTCTTTTCTTTTTTTGATTAGAAATTGAAAAATTTCCATTTTCTCTGGTAACTTGTTGGAAATAATCTTTCAAGGAAATTGGCTAAAAAATTAAAAGATTGAAAAAGGATACATTTATATTACTCATTCACAATAAAATTTAATCAAATGTTTATATATATAAAAACGTAATATATTACCGAATTAGTGTTACGTAGAGACTGTTCTAATTGCTTAATCTCGTCATCTTTAGGAGCTAATTCATCATATAACATTCTGTGGAATGAACTGTCATGAATGTTAGGAGCAAAGCAAGGACGAGCACCTGTATTACGATCATCGGAATCATATTTTTCATCTTCATGTATTTTCATTTTATCAAAGTCATTTTGTAAAATGCTTGTAGATGCTGCAGTAGCTTGTGACGCTGCAGCATCTTCTGATGCTGTACTAGCGTTACGAGGAGGACGTAATGGATGTAATGGTGCTTCACAAGTCTGAAATTACAGAAAGAATACTTATATAATTATATCAATATAGTGATCACGATGTTACTTATTTAATCCTGGACTACAGAAATGGGTTATTAGGATTTGAAGCAAAATTGAGTGATTATACAATCTATACGAGCGTACTATGAGGTTATAAATTGTAGGCATAAAAATTATAGGCTTGAATTTTCTCTATCAGTCGCCGTAAGGAGATTCACTTGCATTCTGTGCACTTCAAAAAGGATACTTCAAAACTTAAGTGTAGTTTTCACAGCTATAGTTAAAGGTTAAATATATATATTTAAAAAATATTGTTATATTAAGTTTGCATGAAATATATTTTACCATGTTCGCAGACTCTAAGACTGTGCTCGGAAACCCTTTGAGATTTGCTATACGCTCTCGTTCGTTGTCCCTAAATTTCTTTTTCTCTGCTTTTGTCAATCCAGGCACACATCGAAGTACCGGCATTTTCGCTGAAGCTTCCATCGGATCGTAATGCGGAAATTCTGGATCCTGTCAAACAAAATATATGAGTTATATAATGTAAATCAGTATCGGTTTACATTAGCTAATTGTTCCATACCTCTTCCCAATTTTCATTTAAGTACAAGCTACTAGGAGGATCCGGGTCTCTTGCTTCAATATTTCCAATATCCATATCTGCCGCTTTTCCAATACTAGAACACATTTCAATGTGCTCCTACAAGATTGAATAAAAAATTGATATTAATAACAGGAAGAACAGAAAGATCTTTCAAGATATACGACTCTGAAACATATTACAATAAATTTGAACATACGTACCCTGAGAGAGTCCTGCTCTACAATGTGACTCTTGTCCAATGGACACACTGCCATGTTTTCCTTCTTATTATATCTCTTGCATTTTGATATATGATTCATAAGTTTAAATTTACGAATACGATGCGAAGAATTGTAGGGACAAGAAACCATGATATCCGCATCTGCCATTTTTAGAATCTAATTCTATAAATTATATCAATTATTAAAAAGACATTCATTTCTTTTTCGTCATTATCTTATTATCAGTACAGTAAAATTTATTGCTAAATATAAGAGATTCTAGAAGAAACATGATACAAAGCATTTGAAAAAAAGCAGTGTTATTAACAATTTTGAAGGTAAAACAACAGAATCCTCAGTTTTTTATTCTTAGATTTGGAACAATATATCGATCATAAAATTATCTATTTCAATAGCAAGTTTTCTATGAAATAATTAAAGCATTCAATATAAATCAGAAAATAAAATGATCCCTTTTCAAATAAAATTTCAGAAATACGAGGGGCACTATTTATATTTTGAGCCTAATAATAAAAAAACAGTAATTTGTCATTGAAACTTTATTGTTTTTCAAAATATTCTCCTTTATGATCTATACACTTTTGCATGCGTTCGAACCACTTGTCAAAGCATTTTTTCCATTCCGCTTGAGATACCTCCAAAACATGGTTTTTGAATGCATCAACGGCTTCTTCTGTCGACGAAAATCATTGTCCACGCAATTTATTCTTAACGTTCGGGAACGAACGGCGACCACGATTAAATTCGTTATACCAGCGTTTCACAGTGGCAAAGGATGGGGCTTTATTGCCAAAAGTGGAAATAAGTTGATCGATGCACTCCTGTCTTGATAATCCACATCGAAAGTCATAATAAATCATTGCACGAAAATTTTCATCAGTTAATTCCATTTTTTCGCTGAGACACAATTTTCAAGTGACTGTAAACAATACAAATCGCGCTCAAATAACAAAACGTTCTGAAGAAGGTTATGGTCAACAATGTCAAACTTTCTAGTGGAAATGTCAGACAACACTCAGTGTTGCCAAGGCTCAAAATATAAGCAGTGCCCCTCGTATCTCATAGTCAAACAAAAAACATATACCTTTATTTTTATTATATTGTTAATAACAAGGTCTTTCTCACAACAAGGTACACAAGGTCACAACAAGATTAACAAGGTTAATCTCAAGCTTTCTTTTGTCAAGTAAAATTACAATGTTTATGAAAAATGAGGCAAGTACAATATACATAACAAAATTAGTTTCTTAATCTTTATCAGCAAGGTGAAAATTTCACTCTTCTTCATCAATCTGATCATCGAACTTCAGTGTAGATTTTTATATTCTAGATTGTATAAAAATCAGAAAAAATTCCTACATACTTGTGAAAGCTTTAAAGAGTTTTTATACTATAATAGAAGTTAGATTTCACTTTATTTATTTTTTACAGATTTAAATTTATCTTTCAGAATCTATGATCAAAAAATCAACTATACTTTTAAATCCCAAATTGCCAGTGGAAAATTAAATAATCAACTAAATGATTAGATATTCAGACAATATCCAATTTCATCTTCTTAATCAGTAAATCATCATATATTGCAGCTTGTATAAATGTTTAATTCCCTAATCGTTATAAATTCCTGACAATGTTTTATTGTAATTACATCATACTTATTGTTGGGCTGTTCGAGGAACGCTGTTAGTATTATTGTTATCCTATTTTTATTATTAGACATAAAACAAGGATGACGCAATAGAGAGAGAATTTGTTGTCAAACTAGTATAAGCTTTTGGAAATTAAAGTAAGGTATTTGGTGAAAGCGGGGAAAAAAGTTTTTGTACAGAAACAAAAAAAAGATCTATTCTTTTTTTATATCCCAGGACTGAACTCTCTTATAGGGTTTATTTTTTTCACACTGGAGAGAAAAAAAGGACAAAAGATGAATCGTGCAAAAAAAGGGTATTTATGGCTAAGTTTCCACCGAGGGTTAGAGTTGGGTCAGAGTACAAGAACTGACCAACCACAGTCAAGCATTCCCCTGTCATTCGACTATGACAGGGGAATACTCGACTGTGATTGGTCAGTTCTTGTACTCTGACCCAACTCTAACCCTCGGTGGAAACTTAGCCTATAATGGAACAAGTTGGAACAAGTCGGAATGGATTCCGATTTCCGATCAGAATTATTTCGTTCTCCCTCGAAAATATAATAGAAGTCTAGGGATTGAATAATTCTGATCGGAAAATGCATTCCAATTAATTCTATAATACGTACCCTGGGATATGAAAATGAATAGACCTCTAATCTATGCAAAATAAAAAAAACGCATCGCGAAGATATTATTTGATGTATACACAGTAAAGAATTTCCTTCTTTTTCTTTATTAAATTTTTTACTCACCGTGTCACAGCAAAACGCTTCAATCCAATCTTCTTCTGCCCAGTGGATTTCTGATTCTAAAAATCTCAACGCAATTAAATTTTTCCCTAACCATCACACGTACAAAAATTTTAGTCATAATCGTAAGGCCGTAAGCAAATCGGCCAATCACAATCGAGCGTTTTAAAACGCGAGATCGTTATTTTGATTGTGATTGGTCGATTTGCTTGCGATCTTACGATTACGATTAAAATTTTTGTACGCGCGTGTGATGGCCTTTATTAGCTCTCTTCAACAGACATTAATGGCGATTGTTTTCACTGATGATTTCCAATAACAATCAGGTCGCCAATTAACACATCTTTCTGCCACTCTAACAAATTGCTGTCCACTGATACCTGATACGCACTTTGGCACCTTTCAGATTCCACGATATTGTACCGGTTTGATGCTAGACGATAAGCTACGCTAAACTTCCTTGATGGAGGACAACGAACAAGGAATTAGGATCATTGGGACTATATACCATATTGAATATTAGTTCCTCATCTCCGGTCGTCATGCCCTAGACGGCGCCACAAAACGGTGGTAACCATCGACATCTAGAATGGACCGCTGATGGCAATGGTGGGGGTAGAAAGACGATTA